CCGAGATTTGAACCCAGATCTACTTTGAGCCACGCATGTCAGTGGTCTGTCAATGAGGGCTGACTAAATAGAGCCCGATACACGTGTTTCATATGTTGCAGATGTCGTCAGTCGGGCAGTTACCCTTTCTCGTCTTATGCTAATCTTGTGTGGGTGCTCCAGTCCCCACACTAAGAGTTAGCGACGACGAACGTTTTACACTCTATGTCCAGTGAAAGACGCGAAAGGGTAACTGCCCGATTGACGAGATGCAACATTGAAACACGTGTATCGGGCTCCATAAGTCAGCCTCATTGACAGACCACTGACATGCGTGGCTCAAAGAATGATTTCCAGACCGAAAAATACCTGTTCACAAGAAAATTCGCAATTGAACGGAGCCAAAATCATGCAGTTTCAATTAATTCTAGTTGATAAACTTATTGTTTATTGCTCTAGTGCCTAAACTTATGGAACGGCCTAATAAATTAAAATAGAAGTAAGAAAATACACAATGGCTGCTCAACTCACATCGTGAGACACAACTGTCTTCGGCTGAAGTCAAATTCGGCGTATTATATTCACGAATACAAGAACCAAAGCACTTCTCGGTCAATAGATTGTAGACAGTGAGAAACTCTCGAAGCTGGAATAAACAGACTCTTATAGATAAAGCGATATACCTACTAAACATAGAGGATTCTCTCCTTTATCACCTCTCCTTTGTGATAAAACTGTGAGTGATAATAAGACTATAAGAATATAATCCCAAGGGTGCTGAGTGACACAGAAATCTTCCGACTCGAGGCGAGAGTTGAACTCGAGTTTCAGCCATACCAGGGCGCGTTCTGCCACTACACCAGCGAGGTCACCGCTCTGATAACAGTGTTTCTGCATGGAAGCTGTTAGCAACCAATCGGCAACGGGTTTGATCCGGCAAGCACATATGGGCATTAAACCCACCTAAACCCCTAAACCCATTAAACCATTAGATGCGTACATGAGTGAAACCTGGATGCAACTCTCTTGCGGGGACACTAATCAGCATTGAGCTAATATCGCGAGAGGGATGAATGAGCTCTATTTGGCACAAACTTTTGAATGTCTTCGTCTCCTTCAGAGCCGATCACTCGAGTCGATTTATTGATTGATTGATTGGTTGATCGACTCGTATCGTCGATTCTGAAGAAGACGAAGACGTCCAAAAGTTTGAGTCAAATAAAGCTCATTCGTCGCTCTCGCAGCAATAGCATAATCATGAAAGAAGCTGTTATGTTCACAACCAAAGGCTCCTAAGAGATGCGCAAAACTTTGGAGCCAGAGCGGGAACTGAACCCACGTCCCGGCTATACGCACGACGGGAGGTTAATGCCGATATGTGCTTAGCGGATCAAACCCGTTGACGGCTGCTTGCTGACAGCTTCTAGACGTCTTCGGCTTCTTCTAAGTTGATGATTCGAATCAATGAATCGATCAACTGATCAGTCAATCGATCGATTGGTCAGTCAATCAATCAATCAATCAACTCGAGCGATCGGCTAAGAAGAAGGCGAAGACGTCCAGACGTTCTGACCAGACAGAGTTTATCCATCAATCTCATGGAATTAGCTGAATCATGAAAAGAACCGTAACGCTTCGTACCTGTTGTAATTCGGCTGATCGGATGCTCATAAGCACCTCCCGGGTGGCGAAGAAATGATGGTCCTGCAAGAAAAAAGGTCCCATTTTACTAAGACTGAGAGAGAAATATGCGATCGTGGACGAGTTTCAGTAGATAAAACGTCATGGAAAAACCAGCTAAAATCTTCGAATTCACAAAAAATCGACAATAAATTCAGAAATTCACACACGTCCCTGGTCTTTCAAAGAGAGGTAGGGGACACTATCATTACTCGACAAGTGGATATCTCATTGGACCTCTCCTCCCCTTCGCTTATTCGAAAAAAGTTGACCAACGGACAAGAGAACTCGAAGTAGATGAAGAAGGGGAGGAAAAAAAAAGAAGGAAAGGAAGAAAGAAAGAAGGAAGATGGAAAAAAGAAGACGAACAAGGAAAGAAGAAGAAAAAGAAAGACGAAGAACGAACAAAGAAGAAAAAGAGAAGAGAAAGAAGGAAGAAATAAGGAGAAAGGAAAAAGAAGAGAAAGAGAGAAGAAAAAAGAAAGAGAAAAGATGAAGGACAAAAGATAGAAGAAAAAGAAAAAAAGGAAGAAGAAAGAAGAAGGAGAAAGAAGAAGAAAAAAGAAAGAAAGAAGGAAAGAAAGAAAGGAAGAAGGAAAGGAAGAAGGAGAGACGAAGAGAAGGAACGAACAAAGAGGAAGAAGAAAGAGAAAGAAGAAAGAAGGAAAAAGAAGAGAAAGAGAAAAGAAAGAACGAGGAGGAAGGAGAAGAAGAAGGAAGAATATCAATAGAAAGAGAAAGGAAAAGAAAAAGAAGAGAAGGAGAAGGAGAAAAAAGAGAAAGAGAAAAGAGAAAGAGGAAGGACGAGAAGGAGAGGTAAATCAAATCTCTTTTCACTTGAACTAGAAATATTCAAGAGGGTCGAATTGAGAGGTTTAGGGTATGGAGCCTGTGTGCTGCTGCTCTAACCCCCAAGGGTTCAACCCCGAAGGTTATCAAACCCTGGTAATGCGAAAGTAAGTAGTAAATTAGCAAATTAATCGATAAACACAACAAAAAATAGAATAAGAAATGTAGAAAAATGACATAAGAACAAGATAATAAAAGGTTTAAAAGAAAAAAAAGTAAACCAAATGAGCAAGAGAATGACCAGAATGAAGAGAATGAGTAAAATGACAGTCAAGTAAGAATGACCCTCCTGGTAGGGGTTCTCTGACCCGGATGGATGACCCTCACATTGGCTAGGAACTTTCGGTAGGAAACTGGAAATAATTTAGAGTCATCAAATTTTCAAACACGGACTTCCTCTTTTTTTCAGAGTAGCTTCCTAGAGTTCTCCTAGACCTAGAGGGAAGTCTGACAGGGTTAATGTTGACTCAAACTTCTTTCGGAAAAATCCACCTTTCGAATGAACATATCGATCGCCTCCGAGTGGGCCGCAAAGCGCAGTGGTTAGTCATGTGGGATGTCGGGCGGCAAGACAAAGCGCTGGTTCGATTCCTTCACTAGACACTCTCTCGATAAATCCTTAACCCTGACGAAACCAGAAAACGTTAGGCTCTAATTTGTAGAAAATTAGTAAGTTTCGCTCCTTCTGGGTGGGACCAGGGTCAAGGTGCATTGGAGCGCGTCATAATCACGAAACTGCTCACGAGTCGTCTGCACGAATCGAGATCAATGCATGGAACGATGGCGAATCACGTCGCTATGTCTCCGGTCAGTTAGGCTAACTTGCAGAATACTACCAACTGCCACAATTCTCAGGGCACGGCGCGTGGAACAATGGTTTGAACGTTCCCTTCAACGACGCACACGTGGTCAGTGGTTCGATCCAGCAGCGCTCAAGGGTCACCAAACCTTCCATCTCTTTGGGGCAGCGGGGAATTGTGATACCCAGCTTGTCTGGGAGGATAGCAGCACTGACTTCGTACGCCGGTAGGTCACCGCAGATCTATTGGAAAGACCAAATATGGACTCTAATCACCTTTAACGATGCTATAATTGAATCCAATGCATAGTGACCCCCTCCTGTTTTTTGACCGTCAGTGGCTTCGTGTCCCCCATACTGGGAGTTCTCACCCATCCGCCAAGCCGCCGTTCTGACTGGAGCATGAAAGTGTATTGGAGCACGTCATCGTCATCTTCCGACGTCGTCTTTATGACTCGAGGTCAATGCAAAGAATCGTGGCCCAATTTCCTTGCTGTGTCTCCCGGATATCGAAACGCTTTATTCCGGTTTAAATCAATTCCATACATAACTTTTTCGAGTTGTTACTATCATCCTCAGAAAAAAATTCCGTTCCGCGTTTTTTTCGTGTTTTGGAGTTATTTTTGGTGTTAATTTCTTTTATCACCAAGAAAAATTGCTCTAAACATTAGTATAGGTTAAGAAACCCCTTCAGGAACCCCTTAGAAACCCTCGAATTGGCCTGAAGAAACCGCCCAGATAAGTGAAATCTTAAGATAACGCCCAAACCACTCCGGGAAAAAATCCAAAATTTCACCCCCATTGAGGAGGACCCAGGAAATCCTGGGTTACGAAGGGCAGAAAACTAGACTCAGTCTCTCTCTCCAGGAGGTGATTTGATCACGACGGCCGTCGATCATCTGAAAGCAGTCGATCTGAAGCTAAGACTGTTTAAAAGCCGCTTCAAACCGGTTTCAGAAGAAGGCTTCGTTACCCTTCAAGAGCCGTTCGTTGTTCGTTTGTCATTTGAAAGATAGATATCGATCGATGAGGTCAGGGAGATCATTGTGACCAAGGCCGACCGATCGACAAAAGCCCACTGAGAAAAAGCTACTTATCAGGCGGTGACGTCATAGGACGTCATCGTGATTGAAAGATGGTGGGTTGTTTCCCTGACATCCTCTCTTCTTCTCTTTTTTCATTTCCTCTTTTTTTTCCTTTTTTGGAGCTTTTTTTCACCAGGAGACAACTGAGGGGCTTTTTTCTGAAAGGAAATCCTCGATTGTCAAAAATTGTCAGTAACAAATTGAGCATCGCCTCGTTGAGGGCCCGATCAATATCCATCTTTTGTACTACCGTGGTATTTTTTGTGCTTATCCGGTTTCGTCTTTTTTTCTTCTTCTTTCCTTTCTGTTTTCCCCCAAATTACTCACCTTTTAGTCGAGTTATTCGCTCTCTTTCATCGTTTGCAGTGCAAAAAAATGACCTTGTATATCGTACGTATAAGACTTAAGTGATTTGCAAAAATATCGCACTAGTCGGGAGTCGAACCCGCGTTTTATCCGGAAAGAGGCTGCGTGCTATCACTAAACCACCGCGGATTTGGTCTGGTAGCATTTCCCGACCTAAGGTTGGGCGAATAAGGGAGGTTAAAGTTTTGTTGCTAACAGATTTGAGGATATATATCGAGAAAAAGTGATAGCAAAAAGGTGGTTTCGGTGATGTAGTGGTAGCACGCGCTTCTGGTATGGGTGAAACGCGGGTTCAACCCCCGCATAGGGTCGAATGCTTTGTAAATCACTCGGTATTCGTATGTGTGTGAATAGAGCATCCTAACACGGTTTAAAAGGAGGTGAGATCAAAGGAATTTTCAAGCAGAGAGAAAATTCTTGAGAGAAAGCTTTCTCTCTCCCTCTCACGTTCTCTTTCCCCCTCCCCCTCTCTCTCTTTCTCCCTTTCACTCCCTCCCTCTCTCTCTCTCTCTCGTACTTCCTCTTTTTCTTTCCTCTCTTTTGTTGGAAACTCGTCATTCGTTTTCAGAGAATTTGATTCCCCGATTCATGTTGTTTTTCCTTCCTTTTCCCTGTGAGTGGGAGACGGCATTTTCACCGCGTTGAGAACCGACAGCGGTAGTTTGCCGACATTCTGTGATTGGTAGATCACAAATGTAGATGATTTTTGGTTATGAGGGGACAAGTGAAAACCGATTTCATTCACTGCAGAGGAATTCTCCCTAGGAGTGTTACTAACCATTCGAAAGCTCAAATCTCTGGCTACAGTACCATAAGGCCGTTTTTTGTAAAATCCCTTTTTTAGGGTTGTGAAGTCTAAAATAAAATTATGTTTCACGAGCGCGTATTTCTCGCAACACAGAGCTTTCTTTGGGCTGTTAGTAATCATTAGATAGCGTAATCATTTCTGATTTGACTGAGACACTTTTGTGTGGATTTTACAACATTATGAAAGGATGTTTTCTATATTCTTAAGAGAATTGAGTGGTGAGCAAAAAACGCGGCCTCGGGCGGGAATCGAACTAGCGTTTCATCCTATCCGGGGACGCGTGCTCTACCACTACACCACTGAGGCACATTTGCCCGACCACTCATTCTTCAACTTCTCAATGTTAGCTATCAGCCACCAACCTTTGACAGGTTTGGTCGGGTATGAGATTTCGCTTTATAAACCCAGTTAAGCTGACAGCTATTTTAATTACTAATGCTCGGAATTAATAGTATTTCAATGCATTTTCAATGCAAATGTGCCTCGGTGGTGCAGTGGTAGAGCACGCGTCCCCGGATAGGATGAAGCACGGGTTCGATTCCCTCCTGAGGCCGCCTTTTTGCTTACCACTCAATTCTCTTAGGTATATAGAAAACATCATAACAATGCAAAATGCATTCAAATCGTAGCTCTTGAATGGTTACTAGCGTTCCTACGGGAATTTCTTCTCCAGCGAATGAGGTCGGTTTTCCATTTGTCCCCTTATAAACACAAAGTATCTAAATGTATATCTTTCGTTTCGAGTGTTTTCTTGAGACCACAGCTCAAATTCTAATATGCCTAGTAATCATTTTGAGCCACGCATGTCGGTGGTCTGTCAAAGAGGGTTGACCTATAGAGCCCGATACACGTGTTTCAATCTTGCAATCTCGTCAATCGGGCAGTTACCCTTTCTCGTCTTTTGCTAAGACTCTGTGGGAGCTCCAGTCCCCACAGTAAGAGTTAGCGACGATGAACGTTTTGCACTCTATGTCAGTGAAAAACTCACCAAACACAGAGTGTTGTACACTCGATTGCTCGTGGCTAGTATATTCAATACATAATAACCTTGACATGCTTGGCTCAAAAATGATTGCAAGGCATATTGAAATTTGAGCTGTGGTCTTAAAAACACTCGAAACGAAGGTTTATATATATTGAATATACTAGCCACAAGCAAACTGAGTGTACAACACTCTATGTTTGGTGAGATTTTCACTGGACATAGAGTGTAAAACGTTCGTCGCCGCTAACTCTTAGTGACGGGACTGGAGCACCCTTAGCAAAAGACGAGAAAGGGTAATTGCACGAGATCGCTAGATCGAAACACGTGTATCGGGCTCCTAAGTCAGCCCTCTTTGATAGACCACTGACATGCATGGCTCAAAAAATGATCATCAGGCATATCTAAATGTACATTGTATTGACATCCTGAAGCTTCTGAAGATATGGATCCTGAAGCTTCTTACGGTGATGAGAATCTCTCTGCGTCAGTATCGGCGAGAAGACGTTCTCAGTCGTTCTCGGACGATTATTCAGTTCAACGAACAAACGATGATGCAACACAGTGTAAACTGGCTGCAGTCCAGGTACATCTTGCCATTCAGTTTCAGTTTTGTTTGTTTTTGCAGTAGAGTCACACCCACGGAAGTACTTCACAGGAGGTTTACTCATTACTAGGAAATCAGTAGAATATAGGAAATTAATACAGTAGTATCAGTCAGATAGAATATGAAAGGATAAGGGGTTCTTTTCTGTTAGACGGCGACAAAATATCTGAACCCATTTGCTGGATAATGATTTTTTATAGGAGTGTTTGTATTCATTCAAAAGCTTAAATCTCTGGCTAAGCCTTACATGGCCGGTTTTTCTAAAAACTTTTTCATAGCGCTGTAAAATTCGAAATAAAATCATGTTTCACACCATGCGCGCCACTATTTTTTTTCATGCGTATGAATCGCTAGAAGCACAAAAGCATATGTGTAAAGAACGGTTCGTAGTACATGAGTCAGTCGTTTTACATGGGGTTTATCTCAAAGCGGAGAAAAAAATTCTCAATTGAAAACAAGTGGAACCCCACATATCTAGCCCATATGGGTCAATCGACCAGCCCGTAAGTTGGCCGGTGAATAATCTCGCCGGATATGTGAAGCTCGATCCTATTTTTCGTGCCGCAGTGCAGTGAAACGCGCCTTCCCAAAAAACAAGCACAGCGTTGGAATTAGTTAAGCCTACGCTATCTAATGACTACTAAATAGTCTAAAGAAAGAGCTCTGTCCGGCAAGATGTAAAGCACAAGTCTTCTCTTTCGGCTGCAGCTCTATAAAATAATCTTTTTCAAAATGCAGACGCATTTTTGAGTTCTCCGAGACTTGCCATCGAATGAGTAGTAATACGCTGAGGAAAGAGTTTTATCCAGCGAGATACAAACAAGGGAAAAGAAGATGCATGGTCGTGTGAAACATAATTTCATTGTGGATTTTACAGCATTCGTAAAGGGTATTTTGGAATAACGGTCACGTGCGGCTCTACCAAGAAATTTAAGAATTTGTATGATTGCTAGCACTCCTGTGAAAAATTAGGAAATCACTGGATAAAGCTCTAGGCGTTGATCAATCCCCCTGAGGGATGCGCCATGTATTTGTCCTCGTCTAGGGTCATGTGGGGCCAAAGAATGCATATCGGGCTTATGACTGGCGGGGACCTATCGATATTTTAAGTCAGTCTGCTGTCTTTGCAGAAAATTCGGAGAATGGAATGTCTGGTGAGCTTTGAGCGCGAGATCGAACCACCGGCAGTCGTATGATGGACCGACTATGCGTTTGCAGAGCTCCTCTAGACAGTTTGATACACGCTCCCTCCTTTCACAATGCATGTGTATATGTACATATATGCATATGAATATATACATAAGTGGTTAGAGCAGCCCTGCTACCGACACGCGGTTGATGTTTCACTCTCCTCCAAGGCTCATCAAGCTTGCGTTCATCCTGGGTTGGCGAAACCAGTATCAGATTTATCGGAGAAAGCAGCACTGAGTCGATACAGCGGTAGGCCACCGCTGTTTATTGTGGAGACCAGATTTGCATCCACTCACCTCAAACGATGCTAAATGAGGTCGAATGAATGGCGCATCTCTTAGAGAGATTGGTCAACTTCGAGAGCTCTTTCCTTTTTTCAAGACTAGAACCTTAGAAAATGGGCGGTTTAACTCTGTTATCGATTTAGCTTGACTTTTTGCCAAAATACCCAGTAATAGAAGTTTTCTTTTCTAAAAGTCTGCTGAGAATATTTTGAACTATCCTCTAAATAACGTTATCAAGTCTTCGTCAAATGCAAAGACTTCTGAAAGCAATACTGAAAGGTATGAAATAGTCTGATTCCAGTTAGGATACTGGAAAGATGAGTACTTATCGCGATTCGTCCAGCACGGTACTGATCATTGTCGCCGTGATCCAGAGATTTCAATCGGCTACTGGGCGAGAGTATCAGCTATAAATCAGCTTGTTGAGCGATTCATAGAGAAGACTGCTGGACGATGTCAGTTGTCAATATAGGTAATTTATCAATTTTCGAGGTTTTGATCTTTAGTTCCACCATCTAACTTTTTCGCTACGGTAGCCCCTTTCCGCTGGAGGGCAGTTCGGATGGCTGCGAATGAAATATGAGCGTTGTTTTTGTTTGTTCGGAACAGAAGTCTCTCCAGTGATTTTGTATGAATTGATGACGACAGTTTTCCTTGAAGCCTAAATTTGCCAGAGGATTACCAGATTTTTTCGGTTTCCCCAATCTTCGTAAGCCATCCGAACAGCGCAGGCACGTGTGCTTCGTTTTCACTACACGCCGTAGCGAAAGTATTGAAAGGGAAAGAAGTTGGCACGAAACGTAACTGTTAGAGGCACCATGAAGTAAAACGCTTAGAGTTATTGCTTCAACTTCATCTGGGCTGAGTAAACCTCAGGGACCATGCACCCACGGCCCCTTCGTTTCTTATCCCCAGCGTGTCACGTCTAACAGTTGCGTTAAATTCCCAGTGTGCCACTTTCAGACGTTGCGAGTTAAAGGTAAGACGCCATTATTAGGCACAACACGTCGAATGTTATACGCCATCTTAGACGCAAAACGCCTGGTGTTCGACACGCAGAGGTCGTGGGTCCACAGTCGCGTAAGGGCTAAGTCTCTTTTCCTCCAAGGTTGGCAAATGTGTGCCGTATCTGTCTGAGAAATTTTCCTTCTGATTCGCAGATGGTAGCGATTTTCTATGGTGGGACCTCGGAACGTTCTAATGGAGCTCTTCTGAGATCCCAAGGAAAATATACTCAATCAGCCAGTAATGTGAATGTGAATATCAAATCCCCAAGCAACGGTCGAATTTACGTGCAAGTCAGAAAGCTCTCCTGGGCGTCGCATGCAAGGAAAAAAAAAGCTGAGATCAGAAAAATGTGGTGTTGCATTGTCTAAATAGAAAATAGTGATTAATTGGGAAAAAAACTTGTAGGCTGTGGCTCTGACACACTTTTTTGGCGTC